CCAAATGTTACACCTTCACACACCAAGAAAGCTAGTCCTGATCACCTACACAATACCCACGTGGAGGCAACATTCAAACAGGTAGGGTGAGTAATTACAAATCATTATACGAGATATAAAGAAGAAGATAGACAGGTACAACAATATCAATAAAATAAGCATCAATAAGTCATCATCGTCATATGCCACTTAAAATCACATCATCAATAACATCCTTCATCACAATTATGCAATGCCACAAAGTATGAAATGTAACAACATAGACTCATGCATGTGGTACCAATTCATTTGATGGACACTGGGTCATCACCCTCATAAGATCCCCACCATAGGATCAATTCCCCTTTGGAATCGGAGCACGTCATAAACACTTTAATCCACATAATAGGATTGAAGCCAACACTGGACTGAAGTCCTAACCCCAACACTGGACTGAAGTCCTAATTATGCTATGAATACATGATGCAAACATCATATTATTCACCATCATATGATCGTCAAAGTTGCACCATCATTCATGATAATTCATTTGAAACATCATAGAATAACATCAATTACTTACATCACAGTTCACCACAATACTTCACATTTCATCGTGTTAAAATCATTAGTACATAATACGTCAACTACCCCACAACACAAGGTCAACAAAAAAACAAGACCACACGAGAAAAAGAAATAGGACAAAATAAATAAATAAATAAAAACAACATCTGCTCCTGCCCGTCTGGTGCTCGCCCGACGAAGCAGGGTCGAAAACCCTCTCCCATAAAAACTCTAGTAGCACCTCTTTTTCACCTTATTTTTGCCTCTCCTTTTGCCAGGAGAGGTTGGGGCAAAAATGCTTCACTCGACGACACAGAAAGCTCGCCTGACAAAATGTGCGAACCTGCAACTTCTCAGTTGCAATTCCGCACTAGTTCAGGCCCAAATTACCTTGCGATTACCTTTCATGCCAAAAATAGACATCAAACACAAGGCAATCAACACTATAATAGCAACGCATCATTTCCCTTCACCCTAAGCATTCCTAAATAACAAAATGCATCATATTTTTGTCATGTTCCCCAAAAATCCTCTAAAACCCCCACTACCTACATTCCTCTAACCTTATACAAATTATAGTAACAAGTGATACTCCTCATACCTTAGAAATCTCAGCAATTGACTTCTTTCTCTGAGATCTACGGATGACCTCCCTAGTTTCTCTGTGCCATAGCTCTCCCTTCACCGTTCTCTCCAACTTTTCACGATCGTACCAAGTGAACCTCTCCACTTCCTTTTTTCCTTTTTGTCATTCCTACCCCTTGGACCCTTATTATGATTTCCCCGTCTTACCCTTACTTATCCATTCATAGAAGACTACATTGCCCTTAGTGTTACACCTCTTTTTATTTTAATTAATAATAATAATAATCTAAATAATATTACTCACATTATCTATTACTATTATCACTAAAATAATTCCACTTATTTTCTAAATACTCTAACTATTCCCTTAGTTCATCAATATCCCACAACACCATACAAATACACCATACGTCATAACATTTCATCAAAATTTACTAAAAACTACGAACAATTATAATATATCAATTATATAAATATTATAATTATTTTAGGGTGTTACAACTAACAAATTCGACAGGTTGAGACATGGTCGGATTGCCTAACATGCATCCGTTCGGCGGGAGTGGAACCAGCAGGTTCCGGAGGCACCAAGTACATCTGGTCAGGAAAAGGCATCGACTTCTAGGACGCAATCTACTCCTGGAGCTCGTCTTTCACCTCAGACCACCCCACCTTCATCTCAGGCCATTCCGCCTTCTTCTTCTTCTTCTTTTTCTTCTTCTTCTTCTTCTTCTTCTTCTTCTTGTATGAGACGAAATTCACCATCTTATGCGTTACTTCCCCCATCCTCTCGTAGACGTTAGGATTCACCAGTGTCACATCCTATGGATCCAATGTCACCTCCCATTGATGATCCAATTGATCTTGTGCCGCCTCTAGAGGGTGATGATGCTAGGGATGCCGAGCCAGAGGGTTTTGGAGGAGGACCATATGTTATGTCGTTACTTCCTTTGTATCCATACCATACTGCCAGACATATATAAGACGAAGAGGTAACATTAGTTAGATTAGTTTTTTTATGCGTTAATTTTAATTTTAATTTCTGACAATGATTATTATTGTCATTATTTATTTTTGGAAAATTTCAGGAGCGTAATCCCCATAAGTTTCTAAACCATGGAAGGAAGATCACTGCATTGCCTTAGCAGGAAGATGATTGGTTTCAGAGCGTTCTATCTTTATCTAGTTTAAAGGACCTATGCATGACTGGTTACACTATAGTAAGCTATGAGATGCTTAATGCACTCGTGGAGAGATGACTCTGAGACATCTTTGTTTCATTTTCCGCATGGTGAGATATCTATCGCACTGGACGTTGCCTCGTGTTTGTTATATCTTCCTATCATGGGGAAGTTCCTCGATCATTGGAGGATTACCAAGGATGAGACATTTGAGATGATGGTATAACATCTAGGGTCAGATCTAGAGAAAGCGATGAATGCGGTCGATAAGACCAAGGGTGCTCATGTTAGATTTGAGTTCGTAAAGAAGTTATATTGGATGATTTCAATATGGTACAACAAGCACATGGTAATGCTGAGCAGCAGGCAGTATACAAGACGCATGCTTTGAGGGTATACTTTCCTTTTTTGGTTGGGACTTGTATTTTCATAGACACATGTGCCACCTATATTGACGTCGTCTACCTCTGATATTTCTTGGATCTCACTCAGATCCATGAGTACAACTAAGGATGGCTTTCCTGGCCTATCTGTATTCGAAGTTGGGGGAGGGATGTCTGTGGAAGACGAAGCAGGTCACGGACAGCGTGACACTACTGGTGGTAATAATTTTTTATCCTTAAATGTTTTTCTTTATCTTTTTCATTTCATATTTGCGAAACCATTTCCAATAAGTTTTTATCCTTGAATGTTTTTTTTTTATATCTTCATTTCAGGCTTGGATCCTCCAGCACTTCCTGAGCATCTCTGGCTGGACGAGAGTGGACGAGTACACTAAGGACATGTCGCGTTCCCATGCTTTTATCCTACTAAGAGAGAACTAGACAGTCAATTCTTTTAGAGTCTATCTTGACCGTTTGATTGATGAGGAGATCCATTTCAACAACTACTTGGATACCGTCAAACGCGGTCATTTGACGATATATCGTTATACTCCGGATGACTGACTGGCCTGAGGATCGCGTATTATTGCTCCTCATATGCCCGAGCATGTCATGCGGCAGTTCAGGTACACCCAGACCATCCTCCGACACCCTGTTGTCTCTGCTCCTCCTGCCTTATCTCGTAGACAAATAGAAAAGATGTTTGTTGATTATGAGAGTCGCCTAGTATCGAAGGAGGCTCGAACTACCATAATACCGAACGAATGGAGATACGTCAATAGATCAACTCATTAAGAGATTCTAGAGGATTAACAAACTCAGCTAGATCATACTGAGGATGTCTTGCCTCGATGTCATCGCATAGTCGAGATTGCGCGAGCAGGCAATGATGATGGTATCTTTTCTAAGGGGTATTCTGTCAGACGAGTCTTGGATGGCATGGTGGTGGAGGCACAATGGACACTGTTGTACCGGAGACATCGCCAAAGGACGGGATGATTGATGGTCGAGGAGGAAGAGAAGGAAAATGAGGTATAAAAGAGGTTGTTAGGAACACTCAGTAGTTATTTTGTTGTAATACCATAATTTGTACTTTATTTCTTACATTGTTACTACATTTTGGATCTCGTTCTGGACGATATTTCTCTATTATATTGTTATATTATTTTCGACACACCCATTATTAGTTTCTTATTATTTTGTACGTCCATTATTTTATTTGAGATCGTGATTCATACTTCATCTGAAAACAAATACACAACTTATAGTAAAAAACACATGTTCTGATACATTTCAGAGATGTATCTTCAGAAAATGATCAGATATGCATCTCTTGAACAATTGAAATGTAAATGGATCCTAGGTGACATGTTATGAATGTTTAAAATGGTACGGAAAATGTACCTCTGAAATATGTCAACGATTATTTAGAAATTAGGTATCTCTGAAATTATAGAGCATATAAAAAAATTCACATGATGTATTAAAAGTATATAGAGTGCAATAAGAATTTCTCTTAACTTTAAGATATCTACTAAAATTAAATATTAAGGACATAAATATCTCCCAAATAATAAGATATCAGTATACTTGTATTTAGCCCATGCTATGCAAATATCTTATGCCTTCAATGCTTGCTGCATGAACTAAGGGTCAAATATTAAGTGCCAAGAATTTCATGTGACAAGCTTTGTGCACTTGCTCTCTCACTCAATTTTGCACTTCATTCTAAACATGTAGTTGGACATTTCCTTTTCATCAGCAAAAATCCTAGTGTCACACATCCCAACTCATGAACATTGGGCTGACATGTTGACCAAGCCTCTATCTATTGCAAGATTCATAACACTCAAAGACAAATTGAGAGTAATTAATAAGTTCTCACTTGATCAGCTACTTTGAAATTGAAGGGGGGCTATTAGGAATGTGAGCCAAGATCCCTTGTTACATAATTAATCTTGGCTCAATTCTTTCGTCAGAATTCTGTTAGGATTTTTGTTATAGTTTAGTCTTGTGTAAGTAATTAAAAGGGTTATTTGGTGAGAAAATTAAAAGAAAAATACAAAAAGAAGCTATACAAGTAAAAAAGACGGGTGCTAAAAGCAAGTAAAGCCCAAAGAGCACTCGGGATAGCCCAATAAAACCAGAAGTCGGAAAATGCCGCCACCGTAATCTCCATTACTGCTACAATCAAACTCAACGTGTCTAACCTCTCTGTAGTACACCATTCCGCAACTATCACTTCTGGAAAAGCAAAACAATAGAATCACTTAATAAAAAAAAGCACTTTTGTGCCCCGCTCCGAATGTCATCCAAGTCTCCTCTCCTCTTTCTCCTGAGGACGAGGAGGCGCCACCACTACCACCGTCCCCACACTCTCACTCTCTTCTCTTCCACTTCTTCTTCATTTCACACTGATTCCTCATATTACTTAACTCAATTCCTACCTCTTCCCAATCGAACCACTAATTTCAATCCACTCACATTCATCACCTCAAGAGAACGCCGAATCATCGTTCTCGGATTATCCACCATCATCAAAAACCAACAAGGTTTTGTCTTAAAAGCTTTCTCCATTCGTTTCTGCTCCTATTTCCTCGTCAAAATCATGAAGCTTTTACACACTCGCGATGCAGCTTTCGCTTTCTTCAAACTAGCATTCGGAAATTCCGATTCCGATGAAATTCTTCGTTCATGTTGCATTTCTGCACATGTTTTATCAGCTCAGAGTCGCAACTTGCTTGCACAGGATATGATTTCATGGGTTTTTGGGAGGATTGAGGCGGATAGAAGTAAGGAGCTTGTTGAGTTTATGTGGAAGAATCACGCTCAGTATGAATCTGATTTTTCTGTGTTGAATACCCTAATGAGGGGCTTTTTGAATGTAGGTATGACTTTAGAGGCATTGGAGGTTTTGAATAGAATGAGGGATGTCGGTGTTATACCTAGTGTGACTGCAATGACTATTCTTTTTAAATTGTTGTTTAGGCTTGGTGATTATGCTAGTATGTGGAAGTTGTTTAAAGACATGATTCGAGAAGGGCCTCCTCCTTCTGATATTACATTTAATACGATGATTTGTGGGTTTTGTAGACAGGGAAGGGTTGTTATAGGGGAGAGTTTGTTTTATTTGATGCAGAAATTTGGGTGTGATCCTGATGTTTTTACTTATAATGTTCTTATTAATGCGTGTTGTGTTGGGGGGAGGACTTCTGTTGCAGTTTCTTGGCTGCGTTTGATGATGTTAAGAGGTTGCGAGCCGAGCATTTCCACGTTTAATACCATTTTGCACGCCCTTTGTAGGGAAGGAAATGTGGTGGAGGCGAGGAAGCTCTTTGATAGAGTTTTAGCTATGGGGATCACTCCAAATACTGCGATACATAACTCGATGATGGATGGGTATGTAAAGGCGAGGGACATTGGTCAAGCTAGCTTGCTTTATGAAGAAATGAGGATTAAAGGGGTTCCTCCTGATTGTGTGACTTTCAACATTTTTGTTGGAGGGCATTATAAATATGGGAGAAGAGAGGATTGGAATAGATTGTTGAAAGCTTTAGTTGTGACCGGATATTTTCAGGAATGTTCACTTTACGATGTAACAGTGTCATGGTTGTGTTGGGCTCGTAGAATTGATGAAGCCATGAAATTATTAAAGGATTCACTTGAAAAAGGACAAACTTTTAGTGTTGCTGCCTTTAACTCGTTAATAGCAGCCTATAGTAGGGAAGGTTTAGAAGACAAAGCTTTTGAAGCCTATCATATTATGGTTAAATGTGGTTTCACTCCTTCATCATCAACGTATAACTCTTTGCTTATGGGTTTGTGTAGAAAAGGGAGGCTGCAAGAAGCCAGGACACTTTTGTATAGGATGACAGAGAAGGGGTTTCCCATAAAAAAAGTGGCTTACACTCTGCTCTTTGATGGATGTTTCAAGATGAATGATATGGACGGGGCTCTATTTATGTGGAAGGAAATGAAAGAAAATGGCATATATCCCGATGTTGTTGCCTTTACAGCCTTAATAGACGGGCTTTCAAAAGCAGGTAACATTGACGAGGCATATGAAGTGTTCTCAGAAATGTTAGCTATAGGGTTCGTTCCTAATAATTTTGCTTATAATTCATTGATTGGTGGGTTTTGCAACTGTGGGAAGATGAAGGAGGCGTTAAAGTTGGAGAAAGAGATGAGGGTTAGAGGTCTTCTTCCTGATACCTTTACCTTCAATATCATCATTGATGGATTTTGTAGACAAGGAGACGTGAAATCTGCAATTGATGTATTTCTTGAAATGCACCGGATTGGTTTGATGCCTGATATATTCACATTTAACATATTAGTTGGTGGGTACTGTAAGGCATTTGACATGGTTGGTGCAGATGATATGTTTAATAAAATTTTCACCTGGGGGCTTGACCCAGATATCACAACCTATAACATACGCATGCATGGTTATTGTAGTGTTCGAAAAATGAATCGAGCAATTCTCATTTTGGACGAGCTTGTCTCTGCTGGTATTGTTCCAAACACAGTGACATACAACACTGTGATAAGTGGTATTTGTAGTGATATTTTGGACCGTGCTATGATTCTTACTGCAAAGTTAATTAAGATGGGTTTCCTTCCAAATGTGATTACAACCAATATATTGCTGTCTCACTTTTGCAAGCAAGGGATGCCAGAGAGGGCCTTACTATGGGGCCAAAAGTTAAGAGACATTTGCTTTGATTTTGATGAAATATCCTATATAATACTGAACAGAGCTAACCATTTGGTGCAGAATGAGGTTGAACTTGTGAGAGGAACATATGAAAAGAGCCTTTTTTTGGATTTCCTAATGTACATTACATTTGACCATTTTTCAAGAAATAGACCTCATAACACAGAGAACGAGAATAATTTGAAGTTGATTGAAAGTCAATATGTTGCTTTATGAACTTGATTGTTTCATCATTTTATAATACGGGACATTCTCCGATCTCCACGGTTTTGTGTAATCATAAGATGAGTAAGTATTCGCTACTTGAGCATTGCATCAAACAAATGGTTACACAATATGCGGCAGTGGCACAAACTGCAAGAAACCTAGGAATTTCATTAGATATTGCTACCACTCTGGAGTGCTTTTATGTTTGTTTCTTCACTAAGGATAATACTATCTATCCTTTTAGAGGGCTGCAGTGGAAGCATAGTTTACTACTGAGATTTTGAGGCCTCTGGTCGGACCATTATCAGTCGGAAGTGTGGTTGAATCCGCCGAAGTTCAGGCAATGAAGATTGTTTTGTAAGTCATTTAAATCCAAGTATAGTAGAAAAAGTGTGTGATATCAAATCTTGCTCATGCTGGCCGATGATCTATTTTTATCTTGTACTGTTGAAACTTTGTGACACATTGAGAGTCTTTAAGACTGACTAGGCATGATTTTAACTTTTAATTGAAGTTAGTTGTGAGGTTGCGTTGATTTCGGAAAAAAAGACCAAATCTCGTAAAGAAAACTCTATAATTTCAAACTTTGTTATGAGTTTTTTGCATTTAGAATCCGTCTATGGTGGACCATGAAAAATATTGTTCACAAGTGAACCATAAATTTTAACCATTTAATAGGACGGTTTGAATTTTTTACTATGACCTGATAATGCTGGTAGTGTAATTTCAAAAATTGCCACAGTTCCTGATTTTATTTCAACAGGTTTAAATTTAAACCCTAAGTTTCTCTGGCTTCTACATTGATATCATTGACAACAATCGCACTTCTCATTCCCAACAACAAAATCTCCCATTTCATTCCCAACAACCACCTCCCTTCTCATTCCCATCAACGACCTCTACAATGATCAGCACTCTGCATAAAACCGAGGATTTTCCCTTTGCTAGCATTTTCACAATCTATGCTTCTTCTTCACCTTCAAGTCTAGAGTTCCTCCTCATAACTCTATGATCTTTGCATTTCACACCTTCTACTTGTTGGCTTAATATCTTTGTTCACAATTTTCCATAAACTTGTGAGTGTTCTCTTTATTTTAAGATATCTGACTGCCTAGTTTTACTGCATGTTTTGCACAAAAAATCTCACACACCACTTGTTTTTTTCTTTAATCTGAAATTTAATGAATATGCAAAATGTGTGTGAAATGGTTTGTGATTTTGATTTGATTCAGTAATGACAATATTCAGCTTTACCTAACTTCTGTAATTCATTAAATGTGGCCAAACATCTTACTCATTTTTTTTGTTTAAATGTTCTCATAATTAATCACTCCTAAGTAGCCAAATGTCATGCATTGGTGAGTGTGGGAGACAAGATCAAAGGCACAAGTTAGAGAAAAAGGTACTGAAATTCGTCCAGAACTACAGTAAACGTGTGGACAACATTGGTGACAGAATGTGGACTGTTAAACACTTTGAGCTTAAATCATTCAGTTCACTTCAAAACTACAGTAGATGTAGACAAGATTGGTGCTGTAGGGATACTTCAGGTAAGTTCTTTCTTCTGCTTGTTGACTTAATTTACTATTCTTGTTGACTTCATTTGATCTTTACTTGTTTTTTTTTAATTTTATTTATTATTATTATTATTATTATTATTATTATTTGTTTTTTAATTTCAATATGTGTGACTACAATATAAGAGTGGCAATAGACTGTGACTTGTAAATATAAATTCCTGAAATTATAAGTAATGGAATAAATAGTTCTGTTTTGAGCATGAGTCAAATAATTATTTTGTAATTGGCCCAAGTTCTTGATGGATGAGTAGGAAAAATTTGGCTGATTTGGGCTGTGAGTAAATCCTACTGGTTTTAGCATCTCTGATGATAAACTGGCACTTTCTTTCAGACATCAGTTTTTGTTTCTTTATATAAATTGCTCTACCACGTCACTCGTCATCGGCTATCAGAGCTATGTGCAAATTTTGTTTTTCGATTCCTTCTCATGAAATGGAAGAGGCGGTTGAAGCTATTGGTTTGATTGTGTCGAGTTTAGCCCCGCCGAGGAAGGAGTTTCATTTTGTTCCTATTGAGAGACTGTTTACTAGTCGGATTCTGGTGATGAAAAGGAGTGGTTAATTCAGCTGATGAATGTAGTGAGTGATCCCACTGCAAAAGGTTTACTTCTGGATTTTGTGATACTATCTTGATTTGAAGCTTATAGGCATACATATGTATATGTTTGAAAACATGTTCAATTTGAAATGGTTAACCATTTTTTTCAGGTGGCTTCTGAATTTGGGTATAACAGGATTGTTCTTGGCTCGTGCTTTAAGGATTGCTGCTCATGTCGTTTCAGCCACTGTGAAGGTTTGTTAGCTATTTTATAGGTAAATGTTTGTTGTTGCTTGTTAGTATGTTACTAGTATGTCGGTCGGTAGCCAGAGTTTGAACCCTAGACCTCCTCAAATTCCTCAGTGTCCAAAGTTATCCACTTGAGCTACACCTTGGGGACACTGAAGATTTGGCATATTAATTCAATTGAGTTGAAGTTGTTACTACGAGTAAATTGGGAATTTTATGTCACGTGTCTTGACTTGTGAGTGAGCATGCCAAATTAAATGTTTTCTGCCCAATCAAATTGCTTATTTATTAATTTTTGTATGTGCTTTGTCTAGTTGTTCTCGCGGCATTATGCTAGTAAAATTACTTGTTTATGTAAAGAGAATACTTTTGCTTACAACTCTTTGGTTGCACTAATTTCCCAGGTATGCATTTTGTTAAGTGGATAAGAGACTTTGATCATTACTAAAATAATTTGCGAAGAGAGTTAAACTATGATTTTAATGTCTACTGATATTAAAATATTTTTTTAAGGTGCTTTAGTGATTGAACTTTTGCATTCATTAGCATAATTCAATTTCTAGATTGCATTTATATGAAGAATATAATATATTGTCTTTGTTGCCATCGAGAAGCTGTTTTTCAAGGATCATCTCAATATATTATATTGGAAATGTATTAGAACTGCTTGAACTGAATAACCCGTGCCTACAAGGGGATAACACATGTGCTAAGAAATGCTTTAGCTTCATCTTCTTTTTATCTAAAAAATATGCAATTATATGAATTTTGGGATTCATGTCCACATTAATCCTGTATAAATTCAAATTGTGCTGTGTACATTTTTTAGTAACTGCTAGGACCTTATCCAAGTTTGTCCTGTCTGTTGTCTGTTGCATTGTACTGAAGAATCAACCTTATGTAACGAGCACTCATTTTCATATTGTAACAGGGGCAAGGATATCCGTTACCTGCTGATACCCAGTAAGTTGATGCTAGATGGGAAATTCCAGTTATGCTTCCTCTGCGCGATTGTGTTGTTCAAGAGATCAACATGTTTTGCCATTTCGACAGGTTTGTGCTCCTCTGAATATGCTATTGTTTGTTCTACTTCTTGTTTTTGAAATTTTAAAATTCTTCTGTCTCTTTGTTACTTGGTCTGAATTATGCAACTCTTACTGAATGAATTTGTCTCATCTTTTTGGTAGGGCAGTCTAAAGACTATTAAACTGTCTACAGGTCTGAGTTCTAGCATTAATAGCTTGGTCTCATCTTTTGTGGCTTTATTGCAGGTATAATTTTTTTTTACCACCCCTTTGATATATAGTTTTGGGCTGGGAGTGGAGAGATTTCGGTGGTGGATGTTAGTTTAGGAACGTCAGCTGTGACCTGTTTTATGAGTATGCCACAGCCAGATACACATTTAAAATGGAGTTTTAAGTGTTCACATCTAGGGTTTAGAGAAAACATGTGTTTTGTTGATTAGTATTTAGTTTTCCCTTATAGTAGAAGTTCAAATCGAATTAGCAACTATCCAGTCATTAATGGATTTCATGTTTTACAGGAAGAGAATCCATCTCGAGAGAGGACAATTGTAAGAATACCCGGGAAACTTATCCCCTTTCAATTCAATAGGATTCCCGAGATCATTGATGGTAATGTTCCATTCGCAACTCGAAGACGGCAAAAGAGATACAATCTCAAATCCAATGAATCTGTTTCCTCAGAATCTTGTTGTTCTCTCTGCAATAGCCACTTGACAAAAGTGAGATTGTTGATTGGAGCAATCACAAAAACTGCAGAAGTAGTGACACTTTTTATAATTCTTGCTGTTCAAGTTGTCAATTTCAGATACTTCCACCAGATTCGACATCAATGGAGAAATTTTATATGGATTTTCCGCTTTCAGTGGTTGCCTGGTCAAACCAGATCAACAATGCCCGGTCAAACCAGATCAACAATGGTAAATTGAATGCACTGAGGTGAGTATGTGTTTCCCGTCACGGTCAAAAGTAAATACATTCCAAATTTGGTAATAATTCAGTCTAAGCCATCTAGCCACTGGGTTGTCTTGAAAATATTTATATAGCACCAATACAATAGGTTTTCTTTTACTTTTTTGTTGAATGAGAGTTGGGCTAAAGAAACTTGGAGTATGAGAAATTTGGATAATCTATTTTGGCTCTGCTAATATTTATGAGTTTTAAATGGAACGTTTGATAGACCTAGAGTCCATGATCATTATTGGTTGTAAACTCCATTAAGATCTTCTAATCGGGTCCTTGCATTTCCCCCCCTGGCACAGGTGTTCTCAATTGTCGAGGCTTTTGGTTATACGATCATGATGTTTTTGTTGATAGGAGTGTTCGTAGGCTGGTTAGGTTTGGTTTCGAGAGAATTCGATATCCAAACCAATCAAATATATATGGATTGATTTGGATTGAATTTTCATATTTTTTCAATAAAGAACAAACCGATCTGACAAACAACAGATTGGTTTAGATTGGATTAATAAGATACATTAAAAATAAAGATGCAAAAATGTTTATTAAAAATAATTTATTTACACACTAAAAATATCTATATGTTTACAATAATATATTTGTATTTAATTAGTATCATTAACATATAGTACAATTTTAGAACTCATATATATATATATATATATATATATATATATATATATATATATATATATATATATATATATATATATATATATATATATATATATATATATATATATATATATATATATATATATATATATATATATATATATATATATATATATATATATATATATATATATATATATATATATATATATATATATATATTTATATTTATTTATTTATTCTTATTAAATAGAGATTCGTCTTGCCATTTTTGTTTTATTTAAATAGGGATTCATATTAAATAAAAAATCATTGATGTTTGGTTTCTCTATATTGATAATTGTTATGAACTTATGATGTGAGAATGTTATTTTTTTTTCTTGGAATTTTCTAAACTCTTCATTGTTTTTTTTTTGTTACTATTGAATTCATTCTATTAATGATATATATTAATATATTATTATTGGTTTGGTTTGGATTTACGAGTAAAAAATTAGAAATTCATTGTCCGAATCAATTAACACTGGTTTTGATTGATGTGATTTGCTTTTTGCTCAAACTAAAAAAAGTATGACTCAAACACATTGGTTTGGTTTGGTTCGGGTTTTCACAAATCAACGAACACTCCTATTTGTTGATATATATATATATATATATATATATATATATATATATATATATATATATATATATATATATATATATATATATATATATATATATATATATATATATATATAAAATTTCTTAATTCATTTTATAGTAAAATAGGTTAGGTTGAGACTTTAGCTAATTCTCGATATAATTAATTTGATAAAATGTATATTATACTATATAATGTATCTCCTGTAGTGTTATTCAAACACGCGTTCCCATGTGCCACCTCTGCTCTTGCGCGTAGGCTTCACGTGCCGCCGCACATCCCGTGTATTCGGCATTTGATCTCGTCGGTTTTTGCATCACCTGACTCGCCTCTCTTCACCATTCTTAAATTCGATCTCAGTTTTTTATTTTGAATTACAAAAAATCGTGCTCCATTGCAAAACAGTCCCAATTTTGTTGTTTTAAGCCATGGGGGACACCGATTTTGTCTTGTTTACTAAAGTTCTGCTTATCCCATGGGAAAAATTAATTGGGACATCTAACTACAACATTTGGGCTTGTACCGTCAAGATGTGGTTCCATGGTCAGGGATTTAAAGATCACTTAGCCAAAAAATTGGCTAATGTACTCGCTGACAAACTCTTTAAATGGAACAAAACAGATGTTTCTTTGTGCACTATATTATGGTTTTTCATAGCACCTAATCTCCAAACACAGTACCAAGCATTCTCCACTTGCTATGAGGTTTAGAAAAAAGCCAAGAAAGTATTCTTGAACGATGTTCATTGTCTATATAGTGTCATCCTCAAACTCAACTCTTTGAAATTTGTGAATATGGATATGAAAGTCTATATGAGTAAGATTGATGCCTTGAAAGCAAGTTTCGTAACTCTAATGCCTTTTGCAAAAAATGCCTGGATTCTGAGAGCACATGTGTGCTATTGTCTGGATTCTGAGATACATCAAATGTGCTCTAAGAAAAGACCTTGTGTATTATAAAGAAAAATGACATACTCATATAGTTGGACACTTCGATGCTGATTGGGCAGGGTCACCCATTGATAGACGATTCACCTCTGGATATTTTATACTTGTTGGAGGAAACCTTATATTTTGGAAAAGTAAGTAACAAAATTGATAGCAGCGAATATAATAAAGTTCAGAAGTAGTAAACAAATCAACATACAGTTTATTCTGGTTCCTCTCCTAAACTAAGTAGTTCAGTCCCTTTGCCTCAAAAAGAGATTTTCATTATAATCAACATTGATTACAACTTTAGTCAATTAAACCTGAAAGAGACTTCAACTGCTTTATCAATCCAGAAAGAGACTTCTGCTCAAGCAACCTAGCAGGAGACTTTTACTCAATCAC